ACTGCCTGCCTACCTACCTGTCTGTCTGCCTGCCTGCCTGCCTACCTACCTGTCTGTCTGACTGCCTACCTACCTGTTTGTCTGTCTGACTGCCTGCCTGCCTACCTGCCTGTCTGACTGCCTACCTGTCTGACTGCGATATGTGATGAACATACTATAAATTGCAAAATGATCACAAATCAAATGTACATTTTCTAGAAATGCCAGAAAAGTGAGTCTGTGAATACATTGACTGGTCTCATTGCTTATACACTGAGAGTATATTGTTTGTTTTCTTATCTAATAAAACACAAATCTCATACCTATTTCAAACAACTTTTGCAATTTTGTTATGCCACAGCTAAGTAATACATTTGATAGTGTGAAAATGGAACTCTCAGAGAATGGAATACATTGATATCTAAGTTTCATACCCTTTATTCTATTAATATAATATTTGCTAATACCACTATCTTGATTTTTTGCACATCACTATTCCAATTTTCAGAAAACCTTGTATTACCAATGAATCCAGGTGATTACATCATCGATGTGACCACCCAGTTAGAAAGAACAAACTTGGAACATTATCTCATCTTTAAGAAAGTCTTGTGGTACCAGCCATTACGCATGGATAATCCACTGAATGTCACTATTATATACAACCAGGTAGGTGACACTGTTATGTCACTATTATATACAACCAGGTAGGTGACACTGTTATGTCACCCGATACGATCTTACATGTACTTATCATATGACAGTGTGTGAAGTTTATCAAACCATAACTCAAAATGGTGGTTGCTTTTAATCAAAGATTTCTTCAGTTCACAGTTATATATTTAAGCATCTACTCGGATTCATCTAAACAAACAAGTTGTCCACCATTTGTAACTTGGCTTTATACAATTGTTTTATACTGTGTTTTGTAGGTGTTGCCTGACTTTCTCAGCGGCAGATTACTTGTCATGCAGAATGGTGTTCTGACAACGGAACAACAAAATGAAGTGACAAGACTTGCTGCATTACAACGTAAAGCTAGTGATAACACTCAAATGCCGACCACGTAAGTATATGTCTGACAGGAATAACTGAGTTGCTATGACATTTACTAGTATTGTTATGCATTTTTTTTCAGGAATCCTGCAATGTTGATGCAACTACTACAGTTATACTAATAACCTTATTATAATGCATATTCTGGTTTTCATTTATAAGTCATGAATATTACTTCTATTGTAATATGTTTAGTGTTGAGTTTACAATTCTTTCTTCCACTCTAGCCTCCTGCCAATTCCCTCATCTTCCAAGACTGAGTAAGTTTTTAGATAATCACCAAAATGTATGCAGTCATTTTAGACTATTCTTTCACATGTAACATGCATGTTTCATTTCTAGTTATACTTATCTGATTAGAAATCATTTTTGTATACTTCATGCAATGAGACACCCTACATGTAGTTTGCCTTAAAATAAATCATAATATGAGGCATCTAGTTGGCCCATCAAATGTATAATAGAACGTAATACCTTAGTTTGCCCATGAAATGAGACAACCAAGTTAGCATATCAAATGTATCATGGACAGAGTAAGAAGTACATACCCAGCATAAATATACTTCTGACCCATGTTTGTTTTTTCTAGGCGTGATCTACGTGGTATACTGCCATCTGTGGTAATTAATCAGTTAAAACCACAGCAATGGGTTAATATGATTCATCAGTATTTAACAACAGTAGAAAGACTAACCCCCCATGAATGCAAAGTAGACTTCTTAACAACTGTATCAAGTTGGCCGTTATTTGGCTCAAATTTCTTCCATATCAGAGTAAGTGAAAATTTATCCTAGCAATACACTGGCTATTCATATTATTCTGCATATAACTCCATTTCCTGTTTTCATAAAGACAGAAAATAGACTCAATTTACATTATCACAAAAAAAGTTGTCTCTTGTGAAATTAAATTAGTTCTATAACCGGTAGAGCTAGTGGAGATGACTAAAATCAATAGCTCTGTAGCTGGTTAATGAGACTGTAGCTGTATTTCTGGTAGAATTGGTTGATATGACTAACATCAATATAGCGGTGGTTCTATTCTTGGTAGAATTGGTTGATATTTTAACATCAATATACCGGTGGTTCTATTCTTGGTAGAGCTGGTTGATTGGTAGAGCTGGTTGATATGACTAACATCAATATACCGTTGGTTCTATTCTTGGTAGAGCTGGTTGATATGACTAACATCAATATACCAGTGGTTCTATTCCTGGTAGAGCTGGTTGATATGACTATTAACATCAATATAGCGGTGGTTCTATTCTTGGTAGAATTGGTTGATATTTTAACATCAATATACCGGTGGTTCTATTCTTGGTAGAGCTGGTTGATTGGTAGAGCTGGTTGATATGACTAACATCAATATATCAGTGGTTCTCTTCTTAGTAGAGCTGGTTGATATGACTAACATCAATATAGCGGTGGTTCTATTCTTGATAGAGCTGGTTGATATGACTAACATCAATATACCGGTGGTTCTATTCCTGGTAGAGCTGGTTGATACGACTAACATAAATATACCAGTAGTTGTATTCCTGGTAGATACGACTGACATTGATAGCTCTATTACTGGTAGTTTTAAAATTCATGAATGAAATTATTGGCGTATTCCCATTGGGCTTACAAATCATATGCATCATATTGGTATTACAACAATGCATCTTGTTTAGTATTTACCTTTTAACATACCATATATCAGCAGTAATATTTCACACTAAATGATACAATATATGCACAATGTACTATTATCATGTGATTATTCATACCTCATTTATATTATTTGGATATTTATTGGTTTCTATGGTTACTTTATTTGTAGAGCATATCTGATAGTCATATCCAAGGAGAATGTATCATGGCTATCAACAAAGAAGGCGTCCATTTCCTACACAGCGTTACACATGTGAGTATTACTTAACATGAATTGGTTGTCATGATGTGTTGTGAATGGTTGTCATGATGTGTTGTGATTTCATGATGTGTTGTGATTGGTTTTCATGATGTGTTGTGATTGATTGTCATGATGTGTTGTGATTGGTTGTCATGATGTGTTGATTTGTTTTCGTTCTGTTAGCTTTTGACCGACCAGTGGCAATTTTTGTTGAAAAAAAGATCAAAAATTAACAATTGAACATGTCATTTTTACCAATGATTTAGACAGTTTATTCAAACTTGCAAACTCGATGGGTCACTGATCAGCTAATGTTGCGATTTAAAATGGCTGACTGGCAGCCATGTTGGTCTTTAGACCCCCGTGCGTCAGTGTGTGTGTGTGCGTCCGGACCTGTATCTTAGAAATGGCTGGACCAATCACAATCAAACTTCACACATACATCATACATGATATTATACATATGCACATCACTTTGTTTCACGATCTGATTCAAGATGGGCGAATGGCGGCTATTTTTGTGCTAAAAAATCATCAAAATCAAGCATTTCTCTACTGTTTACAGATGGATTTTTTATTAGTCCCCATTCGGACTCCGTCGGTGCGTCCGTATGTCTGTCCAGAGTCATATTTCAGAATCCTGTGGGCCGATTCCGTTCATTCTTTGCATGTGCCTAGTACCTTATGTAGGACATATGCACATGTAGTGGTTTAGCGATTTGATTCAAAATGGCCGACTGGCAGCCATCATGTTTTTTGAAAATGTTGTATTTTGGACATGCTTTGTCAGTTGTCATTCAAACTTGGTACATGGATTATACATGTTAGGATACATGCCCATGACGATTTATTTCACAATTGGATCAAAGATGGTCGACTGGCAGGCATCTTGTTTTGTTTTTTTTATGCAGTATCTTGGACATGCTCTGTCAGTTTTCATTCAAATTTGGCACATACATGTATTTTATACATGTTAGGATGCATGTCCATGACAATTTGTTTCAAAATCTGGTCAAGGATGGCCGATTGACAGCCATCTGACTTTTTGGTCTTACTACTATATTTCCACAATTTATGTACCATTTTCATTCATATTTGGCACATACATCATACATAATCAGTGTGTTTCATAATCAGATCAAAGATGGCCGAATAACGGCTGTTTTTGTTTTTGGCCATATTACTACTACACGGAATACATGTTTTGATGTAAAAAAAACAATCTGTTGTATACACCACTTGGAACTCAAGTTTCAAGAACACGCTCGCGACAACCCCTCCGCTTTAATATGACGAGCACAAAGAGAACTTTCAAAAATTTAACGGGGACTGTGTCATTTTCAATGACTTGTTCAAACTTGGTATATACATAAGACATTATAGGACCTTGATGCAAATCATTTGTTTTTCAGATAAGATTCAAAATGGCCGAATGGCTTTGACTGATTATGTTACATCATTATACATCATGTCATAGATATACAGATATATTGGTTTGACGGTCAAAATGACCGAATTGTGACTACTTTTGTGCTAAAAAATAATCAAATATCAAGCATTTCTGAAATTTATGGATGGGTTTCGTACAAACTTATAACATACATTAGACATTATGGGTCTCTGATGCATGTAATTTTATTTTTCTGATCGGATTGAAAATGGCTGACTGTTTTAATGAATGTGGTTCTAGTGCCATATCTCTGACATGCTTTGACTGATTATGTTCAAATTTCACATATTCATTATACATCATATACATATACATGTATTCAAAATGGCTGACTTTGTTTTGATTAATGCTGTTCCAGAGCAATATCTCTCAACATTGACAAGTACTCATTTGATGATCAGATACAAATATCAATCATTTTAATGTTAAACAATCATCATAATCATATTCCACACATGGTTATATTCCACCTAGACTACTATAAACAAAACTATATATCTTAAATTTGATAACTAACTGCGACTGTGCCATGCATGGCTTGTATTTTCATGTTTCATACATTTATTTTGTTAAAAGACGTCACAAAGATAAGTCATAATGCACTTTTAACTTGTTTTTACTTTCATTTACTTTTAAATGAAATATAACTAACTAGCAGCCATTTTCAATTGTCCTCACTTTTCTCTGACACGCATAACCAATTTTGTTTAAGGTTGGTACAAATGCAAAATTGTTTTTGTCATTATACATGTACCTTCTGCCTTTAGTGTTTTTTAAATCAAATGCATCCACAGGAATTATGTCATTGACTTGTGATATGTCAACTATTGATTCATCCATTCATGTGTAGTATTTAGATGCGATAATTCTAATAATTATGTCAACTATTGATTCATCCATTCATGTGTAGTATTTAGATGCGATAATTCTAATAATTATGCTGTACTTGTGATATGTCAACTATTGATTCATCCATTCATGTGTAGTATTCTAATAATTATGCTGTACTTGTGATATGTCAACTATTGATTCATCCATTCATGTGTAGTATTCTAATAATTATGCTGTACTTCACAGGAAATTCTTGTGTCAAACCCTTTTACTGAGATTGTATCTACAAGACGATTGAAATCAGGACAAGGAAAATGGTTCATTGATCTGAAATGTGGTAATTTAATGGTTCAAAAAGTAACGAGAATTGAAACAGATCAAGTAAGTTGTAATTTAAAAACATACCTATTACCGTATTTTCCGGGTATAAGCCCAGGGTCTTGAACATGGAAAATCGCCGAAAAGAAGGGGTGGGCGTTTGCCAGGATATCCCCAGCTAAAAAAAACGAAAATTCGCGAAAATTGACAACATGCAGTTTGAACTGCGGCAGGGAATAGAACGGCAAATGAAAACATGCAACGGAAATAAATGAACAATATGCAACACTAGAAGTGGAACAAAAATAATGTATTGCTTATAATGTGACAAATAAACCGGAAATAATACAAATCGACAGTGAGGAATCATTTGAATTAGGATTTTCCCGCCGCCGACAAACACACCCAATACGCGTGAACTCAAAATGAATTAAAATGTCAGGGGTTAAACTGCGTAAAATGATTTCCGGTCTCGACAAATTACGAATCAATCGTCATACAAGATTAATAATAATTTACAAATTTACACAGTAAAAATTATAAAAATTCATAGCTGTTTGAAAAAACTTCTCAGATCTTTATTTGTACGTTCATTGCCATCTTCGTCAAACTCAAAACCCTCAAAGTCCAAGTCGGCGTCACTGTAGCCGTCAAACAAAATCCCTGCAACTTATTCCTGAAGTTCGTCGATATCGTCCCACACAGCTTGACACTTTTCATTTATGTCTAATAATAATAATAAAGAGACAAGAAAAATGGGGTTGCTCTGCTGCAATGGCACACGATGCTTTTGTTTACTGTCTAGCAATCATCTTTGACCTTTATGCATCTGCTTTACTGATTGGCTAAGAATGACATCACTACGCTTATTAATCACGGTGAAAGTTATCATTCAGCAAGTTCCGGCGGTTGGAATGTCTCACTATATGGATATCGCAGTGGACTTGAAATGGGAAGTTTTTTTTTTTATCCAACGACAGAAGAATAGTTTTCATGACGGTGATGAAAGATGGTAAAAAAAGTTGGCAGTCTTCGGCATGACATTGCAAAATTGCTGACCCCAGTTATGGATTCGCAAGCTGCTACAAAATATTTTATTAAAGCCAAAATAATGTGATTACGGGTTGCTGCAATATTGCAACATTGGTTTCATTGTCGACTGCGCTAAAGCCGAACGAGTGCGACACTTGCGTAGCGGCTCTCCTTATACGATTTGCCTGAATCATTTCTAAGAAAGCACAAACCAAACGGCCGGCCATTTTTAGGGCCATGACATATTTCAAAAAGAGAACTACCGTTTCTGCTTTAATATATATTTGTATAGACTTGCTGACTGTTATGATCAAAACACGCTGCCCTGAAGGCAGAAAGTTGTCACAGCTATTTTGTGTTCACCCCTTGTTTTACGCAATTAAAAATTTTTATAATTATCACGACAGACTTCAAGAAAGTCAGCTGTTAATACAACCACAATCAACAAATAGAAAATAGTTTTTTTTTTTGTGTAGAAAAAGACCCCCTGGGCGTGTGCCCGGATATGACCTCAGCTTCTTTATTGTGTCAAAAGTGGGGGGGGGTAGGCTTTTGCCCAGGCATGGGCTCTTACCCGGATAAGTACGGTATTGGTGAGTTTGTAACGTAATCTAATTGTATATTGCAGCTTTTTTTTTGTACAATACGTATAATACAACTATTCAAACACATTTTTTTTACTTCAAATGTTATAGACTTGGTTTAGTGAATTACTGGTATATAAGCATTGTTCTGATTGTTATCAGTTTTGCAACAATGTAGACAATGGGTACACTTGGTTTTGCTGAAATAAAATTTATGTAGAAGCACAGTGTATGGTCGCAATACAGCTTATTTTGAATTTCTTTCAAATAATATAAGTTTATGAGCTTATTACTTTGTATGCACTGTGAAACCACTTGTTAAACTATGAACACTGTCTTAGTAAACATAACCTTGTAAATTGCATACCTTGTAGATTTTGAGTACAAACTGCCTTTGAAATGCCACCAAATGATTTGTCATTCAAACTATTCCCACAGTTATCTTGCCAACTCTGTGTGAAGTTATCATCTATTGTCAACTTTGTAACATAGTGGCAATGAAACTAAGTGATACCATGTAAACTGTGTGCATGTACAAGTATTGTTATTACAATGTGTGATCAATTTTATTGATTTTTATACTACCTCCAGGTTTTTTCTTGGTACTTAATCCTTTGAGCGACAAAGTCAACTCCAGATACAAACATAAAATAGTTTCATTTATAGTCTTCCTTCTACACAAAAAATGTTGACAACAATTTTGATCACATTCATTTGTTTGGTGAAAAATTAAAATTAAATTTAGTGAAAATTACACAATTTTGAGTGGGAATAAGCAAAATTTGAGTGTTTTAGCCGATCCTTGTATTCTCATTGACTAACACTGTTTCCATCCTTTACTACGTCAAACCTTAATTTAACTGTGATATGCTTATCATTCTGTCATCTACATCCAGAATGTCACTTTACATGTTGCTGGTATTATTAACTTGTACATGAAAATACAACAGGAACAAATGAAATCAACAAAGCACAAGTAATATATTGTAGATCTTTTATATATATATATATGCATGTCAAGTATAAATGATAAACTCCTTGTCGGTTCATATGGATTTAGTTGTTTGATTTGATTTTGTTGGTTAATTTGTTTATCACGGTTGGCAGTGGTTACAAGGGAATGCATGGTTGTATGCATGTATTTGTTGTGTATTCAATGCACAGTGCCATCCTGTACAATACACAGTGCCCTCCCGTACAATACACAGTGCCCTCCTGTACAATACACAGTGCCCTCCTGTACAATACACAGTGCCCTCCCGTACAATACACAGTGCCCTCCCGTACAATACACAGTGCCCTCCTGTACAATATACAGTGCCCTCCTGTACAATACACAGTGCCCTCCCGTACAATACACAGTGCCCTCCCGTACAATACACAGTGCCCTCCTGTACAATACACAGTGCCCTCCTGTACAATACACACTGCCCTCCTGTACAATACACAGTGTCCTCC